TGCTGAAAGTAAAGAGGGTATGAAGCATTTATTATGATCAAAGACTATAGCATTCAAAATGGATTATGCCTCAACATAAAGAAAACAAAACATCTCACAATTGAACCCATAAGCAGCATTATAACAAATGCAGAAAAGACTGAAGTTGTCAAAGATTTCATTTGTATACACAAATTGTATACACAATCAACACTCATGGAAGCAGCAGTCATGAAACCAAATGATGTATTGCATTGGGCAAATCTGTTAAACACCTTTTTTTTACTTCCCCCTATCAGATCAGGGTACATTTTTATTGTAGGTGTGGCGCTGTGTGTTAATGCACCAGACTGCAAAGCCGTTTGAACTGCAAGTTCGGTGGTTCAAACTCACCAACTGCTCCCTGGAAACCCTATAAAGGGTCACTATGGGTTGGACTCAACAGCACTCAACAACAGAAAACCTATCCCCAACCTAACAGATCACACACAGACATTTAGTTCTACATTTCCTCACAGTGAATAGCTCTCCAACAAGATACCAGAAGGTCAAGAGAGACAATGATTTAATGGCTGGGCCTCAAGGACAATTCTGATTGCATTTTCACATCTCAGTGCCAACTGCACCAAGAGTTCCCTGCTGCTATGATTTTTGGATCAATCTCTTCTGGATTCAGGCCATGAAGAAAGCAGGATGATCTCGCCCAATCTTTTCTCTAAACCACAGTGGTAAGACAAGATTTTTATTTGTTCTGGGCTATCACTCCCATGATCCTATGCTTCCTCTTCCCTTGGAACTACCCAAGTACATACAGGAAGAATTAAGGGAAGAGAACAGAACCACTGCCTTGCCATCTAGTCTATGCTCTGGAGTTCTACAGAATGGAAACCCAGAACAGATGCATTAGATGATGCTCCTTAGTAACACAATGGAAAACAACTCCAAGGATGTTCAAAAAGGAAGTGAGCTATCTTGGATGGAAGACAACTGTACAAAAGTCCAAATACTCCACTAACTCCTGAACCCAAATCCTTGAATCACCTCTTCTGAACACATCATTCTCCTACTGAAAGCCCCTTTTGAGTTTATTGATTCTGATCTTAGATATCATCTTCAGAGGGTTTCCTGTCCACTTACATAACAGGACTTCTGACTCTCAATGCTTAGAGCAGCTAGGGAAGGGAGATGCCTTTGACCTTCCAGCACCATCAGGGAGCCTGAATTAGCAGTTTTTTAAGCACTTCCTCCCACAGCTATCTCAAACTTCAGCCTGGGCTGCAAGGCTTCTCTGTTCTGCTGTTAGAACTAAGAATTTTAAAACACAATATTGACAGAAGAGCCTTATTTAAGGATCACTACCAAAAATGTTTTTTAACATGAAGTGATTTATGTTATATGAGGAGAGACAGAAAGGGTTGAGTCAGGAAAGGAGTGCAAGTAGCTGATCCCAAATAAAGACAAAATTTAAAAGAGGAAAAGCATTACGTATATATGAACTAAAAGCAGAACATATGAATGCTTAATCTGGTGGGAAGCCAAGACAACATCTATAGAAAAGCTTGATGTGTTACAACAAGGCACAGTCACAGAGAAATAAGGCAATTTAAAAAAAAATGACCAAAGTATTTTGGTCACAGAATAGTATCTTTCTTCTTCCTAGCCAACCCCTGTAAATGCATCTCAATGTATCTTTACATATATAACACAGAATCTGTTTTTTGTTCAAAAGTATTTCAATGATCATATATACTTATCAAGGCATGATAGCTTAAGGAAAGGTAAACGCCTCTTTTAAAGTATTAAAAAGCAGAGATTTTCTTTGGGTTTGAAGGTGCACCTGACTGAAGCCAAGATATTTTCAGTCACCTCATATGCATGCAAAAGCTCAACAATGAACAAGGAATACCAAAAAAAATAAAGTGATGCCTTCAAATGATGGTGTTAAGGAAGAGTATTCAATATGTCATGAACTACCAAAAGAAGTGCAGTTAGAATGTTCCTTGGAGGTGAGGTTAGTCAAGACTTCATCTCATGTACTTTGGACATGTTACCAGGAGGGACCAGACAGACCCTGGAGAAGGCTATCATACTTGGCCAGTGGAAAAAACACGAAAGATTCTCAGTGAGATGGATTGATACAGTGGCTGCATCCATGTGTTCCAACAGAGCAATGATTGTGAGGCTGGTACAGAACTGAGCAGTGTTTCACTCGGTTGTAAACAGGATCTCTGAGTTGGAACCGACTCAATGGCACCTAACGACAGCAGCAGTTTTTGCTGATGTTTATTTAGTTCTCCTCATGAGGCAAGCACTGTACTGAGCATTTATAGAAATGATACGATCTTCACTATCATCTTATGAGGTGTGTTTATCACAAGCTCTGTTTTCCAGGTGACGAAAGTGAGTGTCATGAGCTCAGTAATTGCTCTGTTCTCACAGATGGTAAGCAGTAGGGCCTTGAACCAGTCTATTCCAGAATCCATTCCCTTAATCATTACACTAAACTGCAGGAAACAAAACTCTAGTTCTAGCTCCCACCAGACAAGTCATTTGATAGTTCGTCTCAATTTCCTTGTTAATTAAATGGAAATACCATTACTTGTCCCTATGTATTTCCTGCAGATATTGGGATGATAAAATGAGAAACTATATAAACTTGAAGAAGGAAAATTGCTCTATCAATCTAAGGCACTGTTACAAGTTTCACTCAGATCTTCTTAGTCTCATGGATCCTAAAGGGATTTAGCTGACATAATTAACTCTCAAACATCCTTTGAAGTGGGTAGTAAGTATTATTATCTCCACTTATCAAAAAGCTGAAGCCCAAGGAGATGATGTCATGTGCTTTTCAGTGGCAGGGCTGGGGATAAAAGCAGAGCTTCGAGCTCCCACTGCAGATGTGCTGATGGTCAGGTCCTATTGTTATGACTGCAGCCTGATTGTAAACTAGACAGGTAGCAGTGTTGTAGTGTCCACGTCTAAACAGAAACACTTTTCAGAACTTCCGTTTTCTACCATACCAACACTAACGTAATCGCTAAAGCATCGGAATCATTTCTAGAGAAAATGAAGGAAAACATTTTCATTTTTCTGGTATTGACTGGTTCTTTAGTTTCCTCTAACAGCTTAAAAAACTGACTGAACCATTACCTAGTTTCAACTAGTGAGTCTATTAATCTACTACAAGGAACATAAAACCTTTATGATGATGTTACTTCCTCATTAAATCGGGGCGGGGGGAAGCATCAAACAAATTCTCACATCATAGATACCTAATATAGCTATATAATTTGATTTCTAAATGTTCCTAATATAGCAACCAACCATACTCTGAGCTCAAAATTCAAGTATCATTAAAACAACAAAGCAAGACACTGGTTCCTTTAAGATTTTCCTTCTCCACACCCTCGGAAACCCTGTATAGGGTCGCTATGGGTCAGAACCGACTCGATGGCATTTAACAACAACAACAATTGTTAAGTGGCATAGAGTCGGTTCCAACTCCTAGTGACCCTGCATAGGGTTTCTGAGGAGCAGCTTGCGGTTCAAACAACTTTGTGGTCCAGTGCTCATCCTACAGGGCCACACCAGGACTCCTGTATGAACATTACAATCACAGCTGTGTCTATAGCACCCATGCACCACTTACAGACTGAACTTTCCATAGGGACCAAAGAGGGGAAATAAGAGAAAGAAATTTCTGCTTTCCAAGTGAGCGAAGTATTGGAGTCCCTGGATGCTCCATCATCACTCCCTAACTCTGACTGCATTACAGGTTTGTAAAAGAACCCTACCACTTTGTCATAGACATATGAATCAAGTCACAGGGACCCAAAGACTTGTTCCATTAATGTCACAAGAGAATGGGCTCCTTGAGTGGCTTGAAGTGTCTAACTGCACTCACAGCTACATAAAAAACAGTAGCCACCTAACAAGGGCTGTGTGCTGAGAACAAAGACTCCTCGATGCTGAACTCCTAGTTCTCTCTGTTTGTTTTTAGAGATCAGGCAGCTTTCCTTTGAGAAAAACCTTAATCTTCGTTTCTGTAACTGAAACCAATCCCTTGGCTGATTGGGCCACGGGCTGGCTCTAAGGTCCCTCGAACGTTCATTTGTTAGACCGCACACTGTGATTCAGAAGGTCAAGGGATAGACTGAGAGACTGCATGTCCAACAAGCTCCTAGGTGAAGCCAATGGCACTGCTTGGCAGGCCACACTTGGAGTAGCAGGATTCGAAAGAACACTTCCAAAAAGGAATAACCTTGATCTGATGTTTATTCTCAAAATACACAGCCTCTGCAAAGGGTTTATAAAGGGAGAAAACATTCCAGAGCCCAAACAAGGTATCCGCCTCCCATTTTTGTGACTTTTACCATCTGGTTGCAAACCCAAGGGAATACCTTAATGAAGAGCAACTTTCCAGAAGGTCTTTTGTGCTAACAATTTACTGGGGCTTGACTGATTGAGGCCCTCAAATTATCAAGTCTTCTGTAATCAAAAAGTCGATTCAAAACAAATACTTATGTACAAAATTTGTCAGAGACCAATGAATAAGTGACATTTACAAATTGTTTATAAGAAAATCATCTGGGATTAATTATTTTCATTTGTCCCCACAAAATAAATAGCTCCGGTACTAAGGAAGACATTTCTCCTTAAGCAGGAGAGAAAAGGCCCAACAGCTATAATAATGAATTGTTTTAGTGAGGAAAGTGCCAATATTAACACATACAGAAATTTGTGAGCAAGATTAAATATTCTGAAAACGTATCTGAGAAGCTGGGGAAGGGCTCAGAGAAACACAACAGCTGGTACATTTAAATGGAAAAGATTACACATGACAAAAACAGTCCCTTCCCCTTAAGAAAACCAATAAACCCCCATAACATTAATTTTTAGGTTTTTAATCATGTCTTCTTTTGGGGGCCTTTAGCCCAATCTCCCCCACAGAAATCCAGCCAACCATCAGCCAAATTATGTTGGCAACAGGTCCAGCTGGTGCTGATCCATGTCTACCGCACATGTTTCTCAAGCTAATGGGGGTAAACATCATGATGGAAAGAGCAAGAGTAAAAGGAGAATTCGTTCTTTTCACTCAGCTGTCTTTCAGAAGGAAACCCTCCATCTTGAGCATATTCTTCCAGGTAAGGCATCTCAGTGCTTGCCTGTGTTCTTCAGCCCCATCACGGTGAAGGTAGCAGCTGTCAGCTTCTCGTAAACAAGGAACATGAGAGCCGCAGTGAGGACTGTCTGCAGTAGTTTGGCTTCCAGACCTTTGTAGAGTCCCATTATCCCAAAACGCCTACAAGGAGAGAAGTTTGAAAAAAGGATAGATTTTCTGTATAAAAACCAACTCTGTGTGAGAGAAAGACACTACCTTGGCAAAGGGTTAGCCTTAGGATGAAAACGAGTAATGGAGGCTTTAAGCTTCAGCCCAGACCTCTGTTGTCAAAGTACTTTCCTGCAAAGATATTTGAGGGCTGGTGGAGGATTAGTGTTCGTAAGCCACCAATACTTTGTTGTGTTTACAGTCACGAATACGAATTAGCAGAATGCCAACAGTATCCCATGGGAGGAGGCAGATCCTAAAAGCTTGTAATAGCAAAATCTGCGATCTAAGAAAAACCTTTAAAGTTTTTCTTTTAAAACTCTCTCTCAACAGTTTCTTCCTTTCTTTAAAAACAAAAAGAAAATTTTAATTGTTACTGATGAAAACATACAAGGCAAAGCATACTCCAATTCAACAGTTTCTACTCATAAAAATCAGTGATATTGATTACATTCTTCAAGTTGTACAAACATTCTCACCCTCCTTTTACATGATCCTCGCCCATTCACATAAACTCAGTGACCCGATGTCAGATTTGATCCACATAGACAGTTCTTACGGGAGCACAATGCTTGAGACTTTTTTTTTTTTTTTTACTAGTTAAGCTAAACTACAATTTAAGTTTTAACAGACTTTGGGGGCATTTTTGGTTTAAGATTTAAAGACTACACAGGCCAATCGTTTTAGGGAGCCACCCAATCTCCCTCAATCAAGGGTAAATTCCAGGAGAATCTGAAATTCTGTTCTGCATTTGTGCCCTTTTGATCAGGATTCCGGATTCTTCTATGGAATCACTGATCAAAGTATTCAGTTGAGGTAGCTGGGTACCATCCAGGAATTGTGGTCTCATGGCAACAGAGGCAGTTGTTCATGCTGACAATTAGCCACACATTCCATTTCTTCCTCCTATTCCAGACTCTCCGTCTTCCTCTATTGCTCCAAGTGCCTACTCAGTTATTCCAACGTAACAGTCCCCAAGATGGTAGGAAGGCTGCCAATTGTGTTACATCATTTTAGCCTCAATAAGAATAGAGAAAGTGACAGAAATGAAAGGTTATGAATTACTCAGTCCTTCCCTTACATTTGATCCTCTGGTCCAGTGCTTCTCAAATTACAGGATTCAACAGAGTCAGCTAAGGGCTTGTTAAAACACAGATTGTTAGGTTCCATCCCAGCATTTTTGATTCATGATGTCTGGGATGGGGAGAATTTGCATTTCTAAGAAATTACTAGGTGAGGATGAAGATGCCATTCTAGGGATGACTCCTCAAGAATAACAGTTCTAACCTCAGAGAAGAGTTTTAGCTGGAGCCCGGAGTTCAGAGTGAATGACATCACCAGAGCTATTTGTGGAGAGAAAATAAGTCTCATGTGGTATTTCATTAGAAGCTCTAGGGCTCTGACTATCATGCAGATGGAGATGTCAAAACTGATCAAGTGTTCCATTCAGAAGTTAATACTACAGGATGTCCACAACTTACAGTGCATGCCACTTTCAGCAAATCATACTTTTAACTCTCTGGTTTTGTTGTTTTGTTTTTTGGGTACATCTTGTCATTAATAATATGTACTACACATAATGTTGCAGTGCATAATTTCCTGCTGATGTTATCACTGCAGATATTCACTCTCAGATATTCAATTTTATGAAAAACAGTGTGGAAAAACAGGCTCTGAAGTTGGTGTGGGGAGTCCACTAAATAGGAAGCTGTCAATGACATGACAACTGAACTGTACATGTGCCTGGTAGCCACTGAGGCAGCGGCTTAACTGAAGCGCCTGCAGCATGATCTTATTTGGCATTTCGTACTAGCAGAAGCAACTGTTGGTAATTTTATCACTGGAGTAAATTTTTATGATCTTATAATTTGTGTATGTTTTTATGTATACATATATGAAAATATAAATATATATATATATATAAAACATTTATATGTCATGTTTCCAACTAAGAAAAACAAGTTGGATTTATAAAGATAGTAAAAGGCAATTATAATGAAAACTAAAAAGAAAAAAAAAGGAGGCATTTGATTTACGTCAGAACCAATTTACGATGGAGTCGCTAGAACAGAACCTCGTAAGTAAAACCTTTGCAACCCAGAACCTGTTTAAGCAGAAACCTCTCAGAGAAGGGAAATGAAACAATTTCCCTCTAGAGAGCGACAGGAAGTGGTGAATGCACAATGTCAAAACTTGCAAGACCTGGAAAAATAAGGCAGAACCATCAAATGTTGGTTCTCACAGGTCTTAATATATATATTTTGCTATATATGAAAAACTCATTCAGGGCAAATAATATATATGATAAAAAGGCAGAAAAAGCCTTGACCTATGAATCCCTGGTTCACTAACCAACTTGAATTATGTTAACTCAAAAAAGTCTAATTTCTCAAAGTAAGATCTATCCATATCAGAATCACCAGGGTTAGTTTAGAAATCTAGCCAGTCAATCCCATGCAACAGGAGAGGCATGAATCGGCATTTTAACAAGTTTCACAGGTGAGTCTTCGCCACCAAAAGGTTGGAAAGGCCTGGTAAGGTACATGGCACTGGTTCAATATGGGTGCCCCTAGCCACATGTGGCAATAAAAATGAAATTCAATTAAGATTCAGTTTCTCAGTTGCTGTTGTTAAATGCTGTTGAATCAGTTCCGACTCATAACGACCCTGTACAGGGTTTCCAAAGAGTGGCTGGTGAGCTTGAACCACCAACCTTGGGGTTCAAACCAACCTTGCAGTCCAGCGCATTAACCCTCAGAGCCACATGTTTTATGGCCACATGGGGTTAGTGAAATCCTACTGGGCAGCACATATATTTCCATCATTATAAAGTAAAAGCTCTAGTGTAAGAATGAAACTCTTCATTCAACAGTTACTGAGTGCTTACTGAGCACCTGAGTTTAAACAAATGTCATGCCTGTTATCTGTCTGGTACTAGGCAACATGTGTTGTTCTTTCTCTAAATCTCTAAACAAATACTGCAAAAATGGGAATATTACCAGCCTTCGACACTCACAAGGTTTCATGAAACCTAAACAAGATAAAGATGTGAAAATATATAGGATTTTGAGAACTTATATAACCCAAGAGATCTCTATTTAACTGTACCTTCTTAAATTTCCTGTTAATGACATCTTTCTTAGCTGTTTCAAATCACTAGTGCAACATAGAGAAATTGGCATCACTTTCTTTGGGTGCATTTGGCAACATCTGTCTAACTATGGAATCTCCTGCTTTCTTGCTGAGCATGATGTCCTTCACCAGAGACTGGTCCCCTACTGATACCATGTCCAAAGTATGAGAGATGAAGTTTCAGCGACCTGGCTTCTAAGGAGCATTCTGGCTGTAATTCTTGACAGACAGATTTGTTTGTTCAACTGGCAGTCCATGGTACTTTCAATATACTTCCCCAACATCACAAAAGAAATGCACTGATTTTTTTACTGTCTTGTTTCATTGTCCAACTTTCACATGCATATGAGGGTACTGAAAATACCATGGCTTGGATCAGGCACACCATAGCCCTCAAACAGATATCTTTACTCTTGAACAGTTAAAAGAAATCTTGTGCAGCAGATTCACCTAATGCAATATGTCATCTGATTTCTAGACTTCTATTTCCAGGATTGCTGATGGTATATCTAATAAGCAAAATGCAGTCTTTGAAACTTCAATCTGTTATCCATTTATTATGCTGTTATTTATTGGTCCAGTGGTGAGGATTTTTGTTTTCTTTACATTGAGATATATAACCCATAGTGAAGGCTATGATATTTGATCTTCATCAGTATTTTAAATCCTCTTGGCTTCCAGCAAATTATCACAAATTATCAGTGTGTCTTCTTCCAATCCAGATGCCACATTCTTCTTTATATAATCTAACTTCTCAGATTACTTCCTCAGCATACAGACTGAATATGTATGATGAAAAGAACCATCCAATAGCTCCTTGTTCTATTCCAACAACTGCCTCTTTGTCTATGTACAGGTTCCTTATGTTAATGAATTATTTTGGTATACCCATTCTTTGCAATGTTATTCATAGTTTGTTATGAATCACAGTTTCAAAAGCCTTTGCACAGGCAATAAAGGACAGGTAAACATCTTTCTGACAAGATCCATCTGACTTCAGCAATGATATTGCTAGTTCTACAGACTCTTCTGAATCATACTGAATTTCTGGGAAGTTCCCTGTCAATGTACTATTGCAACCATTTTAAAATTATCTTCAGCAAAATTTTACTTGAATGTAATATTAATGATACTGTTCAATGAGTTCTGAAATCTGTGCGGTCACATCTTGGAATGGTCACAAATATGGACTTCTTCCAATTGGTCACATGTAGCTGTATTCCAAATTTCTTGGCCTAGATGAATTTGCACCTTCAGTGCTACATCAGTTTTCTGGAAGGTTTCAATTTGTATTCCACAATTCGTGGAGCTATGTTGTTCGCCAATGCCTTTCGTGCAGCTTGGCTTCTTCCTTTCAGCACCACTGGCTCTTGATCATACACTGCCTATTGAAATGGCTGAACACTGACCATTTCTCTTTGGTAAGTGACTCTGTATATTCCTTCCATCTTTTGATGCTTTCTGTATCATTCAATATTTTGCCCATAGAATCCTTCAATTTTCAAGTTGAGACTTGAATTTTTCTTCACTTTTTTTATCTTAAGAAATGCTGAGTATATTCTTCCTGTTTAGTTTTCTAACCCCAGGTCTTAACACATTGTATTATAATACTTGACTTTGTCTTCTTGAGCTTTTAAATTTCTGTTCAGCTCTTTACTTCATTTCTTCTATTCACTTTAGCTTCTCTACACTCCTGAAGAAGTTTCAGAGTCTCCTCTACATCCATTTTGGTCTTTTCTTTCTTTCTTGTCTCTTTAATGACTTTCTGCTTTCTTCGTGTATTACGTTCTTGATGTCATCCCACAATTCTTCTGGTCTCTGGTCACTAATATCTAATGCACCAAATCTGATTTTGAGATGGTCTCTAAACTCAGATGGGATATATTCACGGTCATATTTTGGCTCTCTTGGACTTGTTTTCATTTTCTTCAGCATCATCCTGAACTTACATATGAGCAATTTATGATCTGTTTCACAGTTTGTCTCTGGCCTCATTTTGGCTGATGATACTCACCTTTTCCACGGTCATTTCCCACAGATGTAGTTAATTTCATTCCTGTGTATTCCATTTGGCGAGGTCCATGTGTCTAATAGCCTTTTTAATGTTGTTTACAAAAGGCATTTACAATGAGGAAGTTGTTGGTCTTACAAAATTCTATCATGCAATCTCCAGCATCATTTCTATCACCCAAGGCCTTATTTTCCAACGACTGATCCTTCCTCTTTATTTCCAACCTTCACATTCCAATCACCAGTAGTAATCAAAACAACTTGATTGCATTTTTTATCAATTTCAGACTGAAGAAGCTGGTGAAATTCTCTGAATTCATCATCACCGGCTTTAGTGATTGCTGTATAAATTTGAATAGTAGTGGTATTAACAGGTTTTCCTTGTTGTTAGTGTTAAGTGCTGTTGAATCAGTTCTGACTCAGTGACTCTGTACTGGGTTTCCGAAGAACAGCCGGTGGATTTGAACTTCAAACCTGTGGTTAGTTGTCCATGCTTATCCTACAGTACCACACCAGGACCCTGTAGGCATATGGATCACAAACAGTATTTTACTTCAAGATAAATCATGAAATGTTCTATATGACCATGAATGTGATGTCAGTCCTCTTCAATTTGATGTTTCTGGCATAGTAAATCATATGACTGTCAGCTACAAAAAGACCAGTATCAGTCCATTTCAGATCAATAATGCCTAGAATATCAATCTTTATGCATTCCACTTCTTTTCTGACAATTTTCAAGTTTCCTAGATTCATATTTTGCACATTCCATGTTCCAGTATTAATGGATATTAGCAGCTGTTTCTCATTTTGAGCTGTGCCCCATCAGCAAATGAAGGTATGCAAAGCTTTTCTCCATTCACACCATAATGATCAACTCTTCTTTGAGGAGGCAGCACTTCCCCATTCATATTTTGAGTGCCTTCCAACCTGAGAGACTCATTTTCTGGCACTATTATCTGAAAATATTCTGGTGCTATCCATCATGTTTCACTATTCAATACTCTGGTGCTATCTGACAGTGTTCCACAGCATGTCAAAAGCCTTTGCATAAACAAAAAACACACGTAGACATCTTTCTGGTATTCTCTGTTCTTAGCCCAGATTCTTCTGACATTAGCAATGATGTCCCTTGTCCCACATCTTTGTCTAAACTCGACTTGAACCTCTGGCAGTTCCCTGTCTATACACTGTTGAAGGTGTTTTTGAAACATCTTTAGCAAAATTTGCTTGCATGTGATAATTAATGATATTGTCAGATGAAGTCCAATTTTCTTGGCATAGAGTGAGTGAGTGCCTCTGCAGCTTGGTCAATTTGTTTAAAGATTTCAATTTGTGCCTACCATTTCCCAGAGCCTTGTTCTTTGCCAATGCCTTCAATGTACCCTAGACTTCTTTGTTTCCTCAAGCTATCCCTTGAAAGTTTTGTTCACTCATTTCTTCCATTTGCTTTAGCATGTCTATGCTGGGAATTAAGTTTCACAGTCTCTTCTGACATTCATTTTGGTCTTTTCCTTCTTTATTTTCTTCTTAATGGACTTTTGCTTTCTTCCTGTATGATGCGCTTGATGTCATCTCACACCTCTTCTGGTATTTGGTCATTAATATCTAATGCATCAAATATGTACTTGAGATGATCTCTAAATTCAGTCATGATATGTTTAAGGTCAAATTTTGGCTCTCATGGACTTGTTTGAATTTTCTTCAGCTTCAGCCTGAACTTGCATATGAGCAATTGATTGTCTGTTCCACAGTCTGCCCTGGCCTTGTTTTACCTGATGAGATATTGAGCTTTGCCACCGTCTCTTCCCACAGATGGAGTCAATTCGACTTTTGTATATCCCATCTGGTAAGGTCTATGTATGTAGTCATCTTTTATGTTGTTTAAAAATGGTATTTGCTTTGAAGAAATCACTGGTCTTGAAAATTCTATCATATGATCTCTCATCATTTCTCTCACCAAGTCACCAAGGCAATATTTTCCAACTACTGATCCTCTTTGTTTCTAACCTTTGCATTCCAATCACCAGTAATTATTATACATCATGACTGCATGTTTGATAAATTTCATACTGAGGAGTTAGTAGAATTCTTCAATTTCATCTTCACTGGCTTTAGTGGTTGGTGCATAAATCTGAATAACAGTTATACTAACGAGTCTTCCTTGTAGGCTTATGGATATCATCCTATCACGGGACAGGGTTATATTTCAAAAGCCAGCTTGAAATGTTATTTTTGATGATGAATGTAACACCATTCCTCTTCAATTTGTCATTCTTGGTATAGTAAACTATGTGACTGTCAGATTCAAAATGGTTAATGCCAGTCCATTTCAACTCAAAAAGCCTAGAATATCAACTTTTAAGTGTTCCATTTCATTTTTGTCAACCAATTTTCCTGGATTCATACTTCATACATTCCAAGTTCTGATTATCTGATTATTAATGGATGTTTGCAGCTGTTTCTACTCATTTTGAGTTATGTCACACCACCAAATGAAAGTCCCAAAAGTGTTACTGTATTCGTGTCATGAAGGTAAACTCCACTTTGAGGAGGCAGCTCATACCCAGTGGTATATTGAGTGCCTTCCCTTGAAGGGCTCATCTTCCAGCATTTTATCAGACAATAGTCTGGTCTAGTCATCATGTTTCAATAGTCAATATTCTGGTGTTATCAACAAGTCCTGGTGTGGCCCTGTAGGATAAAGCACTGGACCACAAGGTCAGTTTGAACCACAGGCTAGTAGTTCAAACTCACCAGTTGCTCCTCAGAAACCCTATACAGGGTCACTATAAGTCAAAATCGACTCAACAGCACTTAACAACAACAGTTGACAAAAGAGTCACAGGATATGTCATGGATGGAAATATCACCCAGGCAGAATGATCTTTATATTACAGGAAGGTTCCCTTTCTGAAGTAGTTTTCTGTATTTGTAACTAACAAGGAAAAAAGACCTGAAATTTTCCATAATTTTCCCAAATGTTTTCATATTGCAGTAAATTCCTCAAATGAGAAATGTCTGAGCACAGCACAAGGGCAGGATAGGCAGACCAACCACCAGCAGGCAGAGACAATGGCGGGAGAAAGGTAGAACAACCAGATGCCAAAGCTCACCTCACTCGTTGGTGCAGAAGATAGAGAACATTCCGAAGACTTCCCAGGGTTCTGTTCTCTGGATTTAGCCTATGACGTCCAAACTGGGGAGGAAGGGAAAAAGATAAATAATGACTGTTTGCTAATTTCTATATCTTCATTTCTACTGGTAGGAACTTATGCTAGAATGAGGTCTTCAATAATAAAAATATCCAACAAATCACCACAGATTTAATTAATTCTCTATTTTTCAGTGAAACATGGGGAGCAAGCATGAGAACTTTCATTTTCAGAGGCTTATGAAGGAAATTCTACCTCAAAAAACAAAACAGGTCCAGGATGATGATTTACATAGTGATGGTACAGCTTATCTTCTTCATCTTTACCAAGTTCTAATAAACACAAATGCATTAAAACCTCACATTCTTAAGCTCCTTATAGTATGTTTTTACTATTAAAGTAATAAAATACACTTGTAGTTGAATATTACTGTCTTAAAATAATACATTAGTAAGAATACTTTTAACAGAAAGCAATCATTTTTGTAACTGAAATGCTATAATACCATCCCCAATGTAGGCAGCAATGTTGCGGTCAGGTGCTACCTGTATACTAGTATATCAGAGATCCGATATACTAGACAGGGAACACTGCCAGGTCCCACGCCATTCTAAGGTGTTTTCCTTTCAACAAAGATTTTTTAATCTGCCATGGCCATGCTCCCCTCTTTATTTCCATTACCCTCATCTAGACCAGGAGTCCTGATGTGGTGCTGTGGGTTAATGAACCAGACTGCAAAGCCGTTTCAACTATAAGGTCAGCGGTTCAAGCTCACCAGCTGATCCTCGTAAACCCTATACAGGGTCTCTATGGGTTGGAATTGACTCGACGGCACTTAACAACAACAATCTAGACTAGGAGTCCAGGTGTGGTGCTGTGGATTAATGCACTAAACTGCAAAGTTGGTTTGAAATGCAAGGTTGGCGGTTCAAACTCACCAACTGCTCCTTGGAAACGCTGTACAGGGCCGCTATGAGTTGAAACCAACTCGACAGCACTTAATAACAACAATCTAGACCAAAAGCCCCTCTCCAACCTCACCACTCCAAATGCCTTCAACCTCACCACTCCAAATGCCTCCAACCTCACCACTCCAAATGCCTCCAACCTCACCACTCCGCTCAGTCCTCTGACCATTTAATAAAAGCCACAATAATCCTTGTAAATTATGACTCAGATCACATTACTCCCTTGCTTAAAGCCTGTCAAAGGCTTCCCACTGTGGCGAGAATAAAGCCTTGAGTTCTCATCTACAGTCTCACTGCTTACTTTTCTAATCTGATCCTGGGCCACATTCCGACCATAGTGGTCTCCTCTCAGTCCCTTAAATTAACTAAGTTCTTAGCACAAGATGTTCATGCAACCTAGAATCTTCTTTCCTTGACCTTTTGCATAGTTGCGTCCTTTTCTTTCTTTAAATATGACTACCAAAGAATCCCACTTCCAGTCATCCAACTAAGAAGCACCCCACTCTGTACCTCTGCACTAAATCAGAGTTCCTTTCTCAATCTGTAATCACAGATTTTAATTTTGCTTGTTTACCTGTCCATTGACTCCTCCACCAGATACACTAGGGCAACGATTACAACTGTTTCATTTACCACTGTGTATCAGAGTGGGTGCTTAAGAAATATTTTACTTCCGACTGATTACTACAAGAACAAGCAAGTTGCTCGCCCAGGAGATATCAAGGCAAGTGGTCAGATCCTCTCAGGGCAAACCCCCTTTCAAGACTAAAACTCAATGGGAATACACCCTCTGATTGGTGACCACGTTTATCACCGATAAGAGGAAGTGAGGGGAAAACAATAATGAAGCTACGAGTTAAGTCCTATCATGTTCAAAAGACTCCTGTGAACCTAGGTGGAGACCTGGTTGGCCAGCAGTGTAGCAAGACCTGTGGATTCTTGGGCCCAGAGTCAGTGCCATAGCCACAGAGGACTAGAGTGGAGAGTGAAGCATCCAGCTGATAGGAAGAGAGGGCATATGCATAAGAACACCCACACATGCAGATAATACCCACTTGACCTGGCTTCAATGTCTGGATGATCAGAGCTCAACTAGAAGAAGAAAGAAGAGG